TTTAACCTTCTCAAGCATTCCAATTGTAATCATTGGAACTGAGATGTTAATTGTTTTGTGTATAATTCCTAATGAAGTATCAACTTCTTTAATCTTAACAATGTCTTTCGTATCATCGATAATTTCTTCTACAGAATCGAGAATTGTTAATTTACCTATATCTGTTGAAGCTGATTCAATATAAGATTGTTGTAATAATATTTTTAAAGTTTTCACTAATGTTGAAATAGCTAGATATATCAAAGAAATTGTTACATAAGTATTTCTACTTAGTAACGTTGTTATTTCTTCAAAACCACACAATATATCATTCAATTCGTCTAAAAATATCTATTCATCATCACTAAGCATAATATGTGCTAATCGTTCACTATCCTTTCGTACGGGTGCACTTTTATCTGATTGAAGCCGTGATGGAAGGTATACTATCGCTCTTTTTAAATAAAGAAGTCTTTCCTATGCGTAAAGTGATGAATTCTATCGTGTAGAAATATCTCCAATGGTTGATAACCGTTTTTTAAACCCAAGATCTCTTTGTGCGGTAAGGAGATATTCGGTTTGCTTAGGTGAATTATTAAAAAAATCAATCAATCATTATACACGTAAAACCAAATGCTTAATCATGTTTAACTCTTTCCCAACAGACAATTGAAGCATATGAGCTGTGCAAGGAATCCTATCAAGTTCTAATAGTCAGGCAGCCTTTTTTACATTTGACCCATTGTCAGTAGTTATCGCTGTCATTTTGTTAATTAAACCCCATTCAACCAATACATTATCCAACAGTTGAGCAATAACTTCACCTGTATGGGGGTATAGAACATGTTGTAAAACAAGTAGTGCTTCTTTGAATTCCCAAGAATCAGAAATCCAAGTACATGTGATTCCAATATATTCCTGGTTATGACGACTTGTCCAAAAATCTATCATCATAAACATGGCAACACTCTTCTTTTCTATTAAGCTTGTTAATTGTTCTTTACTCCAAGAAAATAATTTGCTAACAGAAGTTTTTATAGTTTTATTACAGGGAATTGAAAAATTTTCATCAAGCGAATGCAGTAATTTTCAAAAACTTTTACATTCCACTATATTAAATGGCTGTGAGTCATCGATGATAAATGAAATTAAATTCTGCCATATCAATTCATACTCATCCTCAGTTCTATTAAATTGATTTTTAATAGATCGGCAAGAATTATTTTTCAATATCCTATGCTGACGAGTGAGATGGTTAATCAAATTTGAAGTTGTTGAGCCGTCATTATATGAGACACCACATTTCTTTCCATTATCCAATATAACTTTACAGATCGCAGTTATACCATTATTATCCTTGTCAAAGTAGTCCCAGACGAAACTTTTAGGGTGACCTTTAGACTGATTAGTAGTTGTACTTTCTTCATACAATTCTTCGTGTTCACTATGTTCACTGTCACTTTCATTTTGCGCCATATTTGTATGGATAACTTGCAAGAGTTATTATTAAAATTTGCGATTGCAATACTTTATTAAAATTTTGTATGTAGAATTACATATATCATGTTATTTATTTATTTTTATTTTTTTTAATTTTTAATATATCATGTTATTAAACTTCACAAAATTACATACGTATTATGTAATTATTAAAACATTATTAATGCAACTTGATAAAAATCGCGGTAATGAAGAATGAGCCTTATTAATCATTAAATTACGCAATTAATTAATTTGCGAATAACTCGCGAGTTAAACTTTCATGATTCGAAGAGTGATAAATTCGAATCACTCGAGTCACAAGTTGACGAGTCCAGTCCCTAATCTAATGTACTTAATATTAGCCTTATTGCTGGGGGGTAAGTATGTTCCTGTTCCAAAATTACTTATAAAGTTCAATGTATTTAGATAATGTGCCCAATATCGTCTCATCTCTAGGATTTTATAAAAAAACTGTTTTTTTGGCAATTCTAATTTCTGCAATTTTTTTGGTTATCCTTGATAGATTAAATATGTTTCTAATGAAGATTCTTTATAATATCATCTTCGCGCAAGAATAAATTTCTAACACTATTTCCTTGACCATGCATAATTTATCGGTTCGACTGTAGGTTATACCTAGCCTGACCTGATCTATAATTAATATGGCCTGTAGAGTTGCAATTGAGTATTTACTCTGAAGCACTCCGGAGTAGAACCCAACCCAAGTTGGAGTGGGTCTAACATTATATCTTTAAATTCAGTGCAACCTGGAGCAATTCGAAATAAAGTATTGAAATTTAATATAATGGAATGTGTGTGAAGATTGGAACAAATTCAATCCAACTCACTTATTAACAACACTAATGACATTCAATCCAACTCACTCATTAACAACACTAATAACTTGCTCAGACAGCCCATAAGCTATGCCTGCCCTATTCAAATATTACTAATAGAGTTCTAGAAAAGAGCCTCTAAAATAATACACTACAACAGCCAAACATATATATTTGATCAAGAAAAACTATATTTCGTTGTAGACTTCAGAACTT